GCGAAGGAACCTACCTGTGTCTCTGTAAGGCTGAGGCTGAGCGCCAAGTTGAGACGCTCACACACAGACAAGTATCTGGTCATCTTGAACTTGTTTTCCAAGGCCACCAACTGCTCGTAAGTGAAGGCCGTTCGCGCTCTCCTCTGTTTCAAGGCACGACTGTTTCCGTCGGCGTCGTCGGCTAAATTCTCATCGTCGTCTTCATCTGATTTCACATTTTCGCTGCTGAGCTTGTCCTTCTCTTTAGGGTTGGGAGGGGAGGGTTTATTGCAACTTTCAGCATTCGGCGAAGAAGCAGGCTCAGGTTCTGGAATGGAGTAACAATAGCAATAATAATAATAATAATAATAACAATAATAATAATAATAATAACAATAACAATGAGGGAGAAAACTCATGGGGCGAGCGGACAGCAGGAAAATTTCAGAGGAAGTACCCCTGTCAAGCAAGTGTTTCGGCCTTAACTTTCTTGACACTCCAAAGCGTCCGGGTCACACTCAGGTGATGACTCCCTAGTGCTCTCCTGCTGTTTTGGCGCGTGTCGAGGACCGAACCCTTGCGGTTTTGAGGCATCTCTGATTATTTAGTCCTTGAATGTTTGTGCAATGCCACGAAGCTTCCGGTGGATATAGAAAATGCAAAGTTATATAAATCTATTAGACTGTTGGAGGGGATTTTCCGTGTCTATTTCCTGTTCTATTTTTAGCGGCCCAGCTCTCATTCCGTTTCATCCACAACCAGCTCGAACTTGTATCTGCCATTTCTGAAATGCGCTTGATGGCTGTCTTTCTTCTCTGGTCTTTGAATGTTGAAGTAGTGGGAATATTGAGGGTGCAACAAACCTTCGTGCATCCACTTCTACTGGCATTACCCCAACCCGGAATGATGTTGTACATCTACCCTACTTTTGTATACAGAAAAGTAAATATTTGGCTAGTCTCAGAAAATAAGAATAGCAAAATGTGATGACGGCCCTGGTTTGAATCTTCAGCAACGCGCTCTTGGTGCGGGAGGTTTGACTAGTTTTCAAGGCTCTACACACCCACTTGGCTATACGTGTCCTATCAGCGAATGGCGTTAAATTCGAAGTCTCGCTTCTTCTATTATCTTAAAGTGTTGGTAAGGACGGAAATCCGAAATCATACCATATCACTTGAGTGGGTATGGCATCGGTTATATTATTATAATGGAAAGCACTATTCCCAGTGACACTGGGGATAAGCCCAGAAACTATTCCCAGTGACACTGAGAACAGACAGACCCATTAGATATATTGTTCCCACACTGATCTACATGGGCATGATGGTGATGGGTTACTAAATACTAGACCAGATCTAACTAAACTAAAGTAGATTCTGGTGTGAGTGGAAGAATTTTTTTAAAGAAAAAGGAATGATTATTCTATGCTTGCTTGTTATTAAGTCGTAATTTAAATATACGTGTAGATCTAGATCTGCATATACGGATTTTGGAGACCACTGTACAGGACACGTAGAAAACCTTCCCGGTTCTTCTTTCTTCTAGATCTAATCTAGATCTAGTTCTAGATCTAGATCTATTCTACAGTCGAGTTTAAGCCCTAAGTAATAGAAGAGACCAAAAGTACTGAACTGAAGTGAGAAGAGAGTCTACAATGCAAAGACTTCTGATATTTTGTCATGCAAAAGAGTTCCGTTGTCACTGAGAATAGTTTCTGTACCTATCCCCAGTGTCACTGGGAATAGTCACTTCGTATTATTATTTCACGGGCGTTAGTAATTTTAATTCTTTAGCTTTTCTTGGAGACAGCCCGGCGCCCGTCGTTCAAATACCACGGTTTAAAGTCCAAATAACAAAGTATCTGCTGGGGACACTTTTTCATATTTCGCACTGAGACAATTAAGTGCTTGAATTATCTATATATTATCTTATCTTATCTTTTTCCGACTGGATTGGCCTTGACAAGCTGGGTCGAAGCAGCCCTCTTCTAAGTTACCAAAATGTGGTCGGGGG